GATACTAACCCCAAATATGTTGGAAAAAAATATTTTTTTTTATATTTAAAAGCATTTTTAAGTAAATAATTTCCACAAGAGTAAGGGAGGGATAACAACTGTGGTTGTGCGTGGTCAGTAATGGTATAGAGTTCAAATGTTTCCGAATCACAAATATTGATGTGAACGTTTTGAGAACAAATATAAATTGTGTTTTTGAATAAGAAAAGTATATTATTTGAAATCTGAGATCCTAACCTCAAAAATTTTGAAGATCTGATTTAAAAATGATTTTAAATTCAGAAATTTTAAATAAAAATTGAGAAAAAATTAAATTTTAAAAAGCTATTTTCAGTTAGGACATCAAATTCATATGTTCCAGAATCAAAGAAATTGAAATGAAATTATTTTGGAAAATATTGAATTATGTTTTTGTTTGAAATTTGATTTTGTGGTTAACTTCGTGGTTTTTTCTTCCATTTTTTTCTCAATGTCAAAGTCCACCCTTAGCAATTCCCTAATCAGACCATTTATGCCTTGCCATAGAAACATTTTTTTTTAATTCAATTTTCAATTATTTGTTACTCCATTATCCCTCTACCATCTGTCCCAGTTGAGTCAAACCATGGCAACATCTTGAATGAAAACATCTTTTCTTTTTCCTCAAAAAAAATCCATTTTTTTCCATTCATTGTCTTTGGAACATATTTAACTTTTTACCATTACAGCTAATCTTTTGTTTTCGGGGCGTTACATTTTTTGCCAACAAAAAAATTAAAAATCCCGAAATCCAAAACCTCTTTGAAGTAATGAGCCCGGGAACACATGCCAACGGCAACACCTTGGTGAGGATAATGAAGAATGCAGCATACAAACACACAACAACAAATAGCTGGTGACATGAAATCAATGCAACAATGAAATGGCAAATTATTCCGGTTGTGCACAGGCAGGGCAGAAGCAGCGGCAGTCATGTAACCATATTCTTGAAGTAACTACCTGCCCTTAACAAAAAAATCTCTCAAATCCTTAACTTATAAGAATGAAAATAGCAACAAAATTAAAACAACGGTAAATGTTGTCTTATTCCCACACAAAAAAAAAAACTACAAAGAAATAAGAAAATTATTTTTCCCGCTCAATTTTCATAAAACATAACCTCACTTCATTGCAGCTATCCCTTCAACACACAATGGTCACACATAAACACGCACACACACACACACTCAACTCGTGTAAATTTGATGAGTATTTGCTTGCTAATGACAGCTCACATCTGTGTGACATTCATGTAATAACAATAACAACAACAAGGAAGACAACACAATGCCAAGAGCAAGAAATGCACAAACACACACACATACACCCCGGACACTGATACCATCCAGATAGTTAGATATATGTCCTTGTAGTATGCAACAGTTGTAGCATGACAACAGCGCCATCAACGCCACCAACACCACCACCACTACTACCACTCAAAATTGACTAACTCTTGCATTGTGTAAGATTATTATAACCATATCCTAGTAGCCAGGTCTTAGATGACATACCATTACGATATTCTTTGTTTGTGTTGTTGATGGTTTCTTCCGTTGGAATTGTTGGCGGTTATGTGGCATACGGTAATTTAGGAATCTAAACCATTGGAAAGGTTTATAAAAATATAAATTAAAATAACAGAGCTCGTCCTTCAACTCATATACTCACCAGCTGAAATCGTTAAGGATGCCCTCCCTCCTTCTCTCAATTGATCTATAGCAATTGCATAATCTTTTTCAGTTCGTCTATGAATAGCACCTCTCGTTAATGAAAAGACTCCTCTCCGGATCGTCTATAGTTAAACTACCATTTTGCCACTATGGACATAATATCATTCAGCATGTCTACAGAAAGACACTCATTAAGCTCGCCTAAGGATAACTCATTTTGACCGATTATATAACTCATTCAGGTCGAGTAGAAAAAAGTGATCATTTAGCCCAACCATTGGTATAACATCCTCTATCAAACCTTTCTTCAAATCGTTTAAAAATACCGCATTATAGCTCGTACGAAAAAACTCCTCAGTCCATCTACGTTGATTTTTAACCAGCGTGTTTACAAAAATCTTTTGGTTGCAAATGTGGATTTTTAAGAATTTTTCAAGGTCTTCAAGGCTACAATCGTTTTCCGAAAAATTTCTTAGTTTCTTCCAGACCCATCCCATATAGAGATGGACTGTGGAATAGATATTCTTTTCAGAAACCCATTAGAAAGACTTCTACATGTTGAATACAGCGAAAATGGTTTCCATTTTTCAATGGTCCCAGATAAAAAGTTTTTTGTGCTTAACTTGTGCGATGGATGCAGATCAAACATATAATCTAAGGTTCTAATACCTCCCTACATAACCCAGTAAGGTTGTGTCTACTCATATCAACATTGGATAAGGTAGTTTTGGAAGTTACATTCACGGTTCTACCACAAAAGTATCCCGTCACCAGACGTTCGAGGGATAGAAAAAACCTGAGAACGACGAGGATCTATGTTATAAAGTGACCTTTCTACCTCTCTGATCGTGCAGTTTCTTTCTGATACATATGGGTGGGAGAGATTTTTTTAAACATGTGATGATACAGGTTCTGCAACGAAATCATGTGTTTATGCTGACGTATAGGAATGGAGTTTATCACGTTATAAGAGGTCAACAAGGTCTCCTTGTTCACGTGCCACTATTCGATTTATCGCAGACAGCTGTGGCTTGCACGGATGACTTGAACATACTCTCGTATGTGACCCCTGCGATCTTGGGTAACTTTGTTGTTGGAAATGAATGTCCCCGGCACGCACATTCTACTGTGTTCTCATCTTTGTAGACCAAGAGTTGAAGTATGACACAGTAGCATTGGGGAAAGGTGGATTTGTAGGCGTTTGTAGTTTACACCCCGATAGCCATAAATAATTTCCTTCGATCGGAATGTTTTTTGAACAGAATTGAAGATATTTTCATTTAACTTTCTTTCAAAGATCCATCTCAATGATCGTCGAGGACTCCACATCATCGAATCATTTTATGAAAGTAATACCATCAATTAAAATTTTTTGGTCATTACTTCCTTGGTTTTCAAATTTGGAGGGTTTGAAGTATCTGAAAAGTTATTACAAGGTTAATATTGCAAATTCCATTAATAAATGACCTAGTTCAGGGACGTACGCAAGAGGTAGGAGGTCACTGGGACTCGGACAGCCATCGAAATGGTTTCTATTTTGACAATTTGGGAAAATTTAGTTGTTCACCACTTTCTGCGTACGTCCCTGATCTAGTCCATCACAATAGAATCTTTTTTGCGGTTTACACTACTTAAAAGACGTACGCCCGTTTACATTTTTCGATGCATGCTCAATAGAAGCAACATACCACTACCCACTGGATGGTTGCCCCAGATGGCTGTAGGCCCATCAATCATCGTTGTAGATTTCTTATTATCGATTTCTATTTAGTAGGAGATATATGCTATTACTTCTCATTTATGACCTCTTCTTCAAAGCTCCTTCCCGCTTTTTATTCTCTTTCTCTTTCCAGATCCACAATTAAGCCAACGTATCTTCAGGAGTTTCTAAAATATAAAAGTAGCTTTAAACCGCTAATAATTTTGAAAACATTTACTTATTTGCGACCACATCATTCCAAGCACCAAAGACTATGACAGTAGACTTTATATCAATATAATTTTTGCACCCTTCCATTAACTCCTGAGTAGTTCAAAGCTGATTTGTTGTTCTATGGGGTTTTAGTTTCCTTGATTTACTAAAAAATACAAAATCTCATTAATTTTTGAAACATTTTTTTAAACCTCGCATGAAATTGGTTATTTTTTACTTATTTTGTTTTAAATATTTTTCTGGTTTTATTTTCTTTTAATATTTCTGTTACAAAGCCTCCATTTGCCATACGTCACTCACGTCATCAAATAACTACTCACACACTTATGTAGTGCTTAGTGAACACAGCTACTCTTGTCATTGAATATCAGCAAACATTATTCTCATTTAAATTAAAAAGAAAACATAAAAACAAAACTCATTTACTCTTAAAAATATCAGCAAAATGATCTTACAAATTCTGGTAATTGCCATGGCTGTCATATTTCTTCATTCCTTTTGTATTGTTTGTCGAAAATATCCAATGTATTGACAAAAACAAACTACCAGCAATCAACACAAAATGCAACCCTGTAAGTTCTTTGCTCGCTCTCTCTCACTCCCTCTTTGACGGAAGTGCCCATATGATATTTTTTTTCTCTCTCTTAACCCTCATTCTTTGTTTTTCTCCCCTTCTTTCATAGCGCCATCTCTTTCCAACCTCTATTCCATCTGATTTCTCTTTCATCGTATCCCTTTGGTCGGCGCACAAATTCAAAAATACAAGCACTGATCACAGATCCCAAACTCAATTCTCAATACAATTCATGACGGCAACGAGAGAACAACACATCCCAGTGTGAGAGTTACCGAGCTAAGGCCTAAGCAAAGTAATCCAAACCAAAAGAAAAAGAATAAAAATGTTGCAATTTGTTTAAAGAAAAAGTTTGATATTAACACAAAGAAAATAATAAACGTCGATTTGTTTAGGCTTTAAACGCGCTAAGCTAATCAAGTTCGTGTGAAATTTGTTAAGTGTTGTTTTAAATGTTTTCTTGTTGAAACGAAGTAAAACAGAGCCTAGGCGTAGTGGTGTGTGTGTGCAGTGTACAACGACGACTTGGCTTAGTGTGAGAAGTAAGCATAACGAGGATAAAGCATAAGACACGATTTTTTTTGGAAAAAGAAGTAAACCATTTTATAAAATGCAAAATTCACACATGTGAATTGTTTGTGTAAAAAATAAACGGGAATTTTGGAAAATTTAAATAGAGTGAAAAGGAAATTTTAAAAAGCAAAGCACTGAAAAATATAGAGTAACAACTACCTTTTCCTTCAATTACCCCAAAAAAAGAGCAAAAAATTAATTTTTATTGCAATTTGTTTAATTTTTGTAGCAAAAGAAACCAAACCTCTACACATAAAATTCCATTGTCACCCTGTATTCCGTGTGATTTGTGTGTCAATCGTTTTGTTGTGCTGTTGTTTTGTGCATAATTTTCTGCTCTTGTCATTGTGTGCGTGAGAGAGAATTTCAAAAAGAAAAAAAAAACGAATTCACAAAACCTTTTTTGACAAAACAACCAACGAACCATGGCCGCTACACAAACCACAGCTGGTTTCCAAATCATGCAGGATGCTGGAAAGGAGAATCCTCGCAACATGATCAAAGAGAAGACCATGATGGCTGGCAAGTCGGCATCCAATATCTTGCAGCCTTTGGGTGCCAGCTCTCTGGGTGTTGGTGGCGTCTCTATGAAACAAGGACGCGCCAATTTTGCCGTGCTCAATTCAAATGCCAACGTACGTACGGCGGCGGCAGCCGTTCACAACAATAATAACAACAACATACATGGTGTACATACAGGAGTAGCCGGCTCTAAAGTGGTAAGTTTTAGCAAACTGCGCAGTGGCAGCCACGGCGAAGTCATCACAAAAAATATACCCCCTCCATAGATCAGATCATGAAACGTATATTTTGTTGGTGTTATTTTGTTTTTCTTTTTTTCTGAAAGGGACCATATAAACAATTTTAATGCATATGGGAATACACATTTATGTCAGTGTGTGTGTGTTAATGTCACTGGCTCATTGCTGGTGGTGGTTTTGGATTTTTTTGCAGTATGGAGAAATTTCATGGTTTGTTGTTGTTTACTTCTTATTTTTTAATTTCGGCAACTGACGTCATTTTTTGTCATCCTCGTTTTGGGCCACTGTCACTTTGCTATTGTTTTTGTTATTTTGGGGTATCTACTTTGTTGCTGGAATTTGGGGAACAATGCAAAAGGAAACATACATCAAATAAATTTTATATTTTCTATCAATGTCGTCCTCATGATTTTGTATCAATTTCTTCCACATGCCTTTGTATTGCAAAAGGAAATATCAAGTGTTTCTCTCTTGCTCTCTTTTTCAAAAGAAACACGGATGTCTTAATTGTTTAATTTATTAAAGAATTTTTCAGTGAAAATGTTTAAAAGACATGCCCTATTTCTTCAAAATATGCTAATTTGTATAAAATGTAGATCATTTTCACAAAAATACTCATATTTTTTATATTAAAAATCATGTATAAATGTCCATATGATTTTGTAGTATTCTCTCTCCAACAGGGAGAGAGAGAGAGGCAGCCACAACGAAGAAAATGATGAGTAATTCAGCAAAAACATTTCTTCTAAGCTCAATTTGAGAAATTTTGTTAATTATATTATTTTTTTGTCCCCTTCTTCCTTTGCTTTTTCGTTGTCATCTGTTTTCCACCCGTCTTTAACATTTTAATGCGTGTCATTGCCAGAGCGCCAATTTAAAAGTGTCATATTTTGAGTCTCCTTTTTGACATCTTCCTTGTGTGAAAAAGGGTTGCCAAGTGGATTTTTTATGCGACTAAGCTAAGATTTGCTATTTATTTAATTTTTAAAGGCAATGTAATGAAACAAAAACATCAAAATTGTTGTTAAGGAAAAGTTAAAAACTGGCTTGGGGAAGTTATCTTTGTTGTTGTTCCGAACAGAGGTAATAAAAGTAGATGAATTGTGGAAGTATTTTTTGATATAATTGATGATTTATTTTAAATGTTTATATTAATTTTGACAGTTACACATCCTCATAAAATAGCTTGAGGGTGTTGATCGCAAACTGTGCATCATATAAATTAGGAATAATAACTAGAATTCCCCATTCAATCAGCTCCATTAATCTTAGGCTCCACGGAAGCCACATTTTACAAAGAGATGTACCCAATTTACTCAGTTTTATTAATTTTTGTTCATTTTTTATTCTAAAACGAAATTATCCCAATTTTACTTTTTCATTATTCCACTTTGACTCGCATCTTTAAACTGTGGTTGTGCTTTTTGTTTGTGTCCACAACAACACCACATATGGAAATTCTTCCTAATCAAATTTAGAATGTGTGTTTCTCTTTGAGTTATCGAGCTCACTCGCTCGCCCTCTGCTTCCTATCTCCTATTCCCCCAGATAACTAAAAGCTCGACCCCTTGGGTAATTGTTTATTATAATATTCTTTTCATATTTTGTTGTTATTTCTTGGCTACAATTGGTGGCAATTTTCCCTTCTTCCTCGCATCGCTTCACCACTTAATTTTTGTGTGTGGAGGAAGCACGCGACTTTTCTTGTTGTTTGTGTTTTTAAAAGTCTATCATACAACCACTGACCGACCCGCATGTGGTGTTGGTTGCCCGCTCGATCATTATTTGGTTATGGTTTTTATGACAAAATATTGAAGGCAATTCTGTGACTGGGAAATGTGTAATTTCTTATCAGAAGCCGCAACCAAATAGGCGACCTTTTTTTTCTTACATTCACAGCACAATATCTTTGCCAGGAATAGTGCTGGCGGGGGGAGGAGAGGCAGGAGCTGAATCGTGGTTGCCTTCTAGGTAACAATCAATTGAATGGTTTTTTAAATATTCCATGATTTGTTTATATTTATTGTGACATCATGTGCGCCTTTGAATGATCATTTAATCAACTTAAATATTTGCCATAACGTCTAAATTAAGTTTGGACATTTTTATGACAGCATAATTTCTGAATAGGAAATGAAAATGTAAGTGTGTTTTCTCTTAGGAAGTCAATCAAGTGTAGGCCTATGTGAACAAAGTTATTATGCAAATTCTGGTTGGAAGAAAGCAAAAGCCATAAATTAGAAATTCAATTTAAGATATTTATTTTTTGACTTACCAATAAGTCTTTGCATTTTATCCCTATGAGTGTTTCTTGTAAAAATCCAGACAATCCAGAATGACCAAGTTTTACTCTGCTTAGCGCTGCCAATTCGCCCAGATCTTTAAAAGCAATAGTGTTGCTATAACAACAAGAATTCCGTTCATTCCCTACTTGCGTAAATTCCATCGTATTTGAGACTTCTCCAATGCATTTTCCCTTATCTTCCCTAAAAAAAATGCTGATTAGTAAGACTGACATAAAAGTAGTAGTCCACTTCAATACTCACCCCTAAATGATTGTGAGGTATACCTACTATTATTGATGGCTACCTTCTGGTAAACATGGGTCGTTCAACTCTCCATATTCCATTCACTTGGTATTTTTAAACGCCACAAGGGAAGCAATCTTGGGGTCTGAATTGGATGTAATCACTATTGGGTTTAGTCTCTGAATTTAGAACTATTGCCAAAGACATTGCTTATTCTGATACAATGAACCTATGTTACCTTTAATATAGTCCATTATTTCAGAGTATATGATTTCTGCATTGCCTTTTCTGTTATCCAAAAGATATCTTCCACAACTCCATAAAAAGTCTACAATTTATGTAGTACATGAGCAGAAATTCATATTTCTTTCATTTTTATTATAGACTGATCGATTTTCTTACATTTTTTCCTGCTTTTCCCTTTATCAAATATCAATTTTCTTCGATGTGTTACTTCTCACTCTTGATTGTTGCTTACATTCCATAGCATTTTCCCGCCAGTTTTCCGTTACAATTCAAAACAAAGCAATGTCAGCTTCTCTCTGTAGAGAATAGACCAACACATAGACAAAGCAAAAGCAATCATAGCAATTTCCTTCTTGTTTTCCTATTGCACTAATGGCAACAACAACAAAACAAAAATAATCCATACAACTACAATGTAATTTAGCAGCTGCAATAACAACACACCACAGTTTACATTTACAATGGAGAAGTAAACAACTTGCACTGGGTACTCTCACTCGCTCTCCCTTTTTGTAGTCTCATTACATTTCAATAGAAAAACAGCAAAAATAACAAAAAACACACAGAGGGTCATTTTGATGGGAATATCAATTCTCTCTCTCTCTCTCTCTCTGTCTCTCCTCATCAAGAGTAATTGAGCTGTAACAGGATTTTTCCCATCAAAATACACAAAGTTGAAGAGAGCAAGACCCAACGAAGATAAAATACACAATTTGAAGGTAGTCTTGGCGCAAAATTTGGCTTTTTATATAAAAAAATTTATAATTTTTGTAAATTCCCACCCTTGGATCATTTTACTTAATTGTAATAGTAGACCGAATGAAACACAAGTACCAGAAGGCCATAAAAATCAAGCTAATATTACCAACTGCATTTTACATTGCCTTAGGCCATGGAAATAGCTTAACATTGAGTAGTATTGCGGTTTCAGAACCAAGATTCAAGGAATATATTTCTGAATAGGACGAGAAGTAAAAATTATGCATATTTAATTTTTTAATTTTAAGTTTTAAATGTTCTACTTTTCATAATTAAGGGAGGGGGTCACTTATGCGAATCAGCCATCTTTTTTGTAAAATAAATGGAAATCCCCTTATAATGGACCCTTAAATCAGCTTTCCATAACAGTATTATTTCAAGTACTTTAAAGGAAACATCATTATGCGCTGTGGATATCCTCCGGAAAGTCTTTTTCTTGCTCTTGGGTGACAGAAATTCAAGCACCCATTTAGGGATCTGATCTATGTCTTTTTCTCCTTTATTATTTGACATTAATTGTTCTTATTTTCTTTTCCTTTCCCAACAGGCCTTCCGTGATGTTGGCAATGTTAAAAATAGCACAAAGGACGACCAAACATTGGGTGGTAAAAAATCAACAGTGGTGCCGGTGGAACAATTTAAAACCTTTTCCGTTTATGAGGATCACAATGAAAACGTCGAACAACAGCAATTGGTGGCCGCTATAAATAAACAAAATGATGCAGTAACTAGTCAGGATGTTGTTGACAAAGAAAATGTGTTTCATGAAAAACAACAACGTTTACAGCAACAGCAGCAACAACAACATCATAATATTTTAAGTGAAAGAAGGTAGGTTACAAGAACACATTTTTAATTTTTTTTATTAATTTTCTCTTTTCTCCCTGCTCCCCCTCAGTGACCTTCATCACAAATTCGATGACAATCATGATGAATATATTTTGGATACAACCCCAATGTCCGTATCGGATGTTCTATCGCCCATGTCTGTGGATCGTAGTGCATCGGCTGCGAAATTTTTCGACAATAGCAATGTCAAAAGTGTTGCTAAAACTAGCGAAGACCTAGAGGATGATAAGTCAGCAGTGCCACGCAACGATCGCCAGCGTTTCTTTGAAGTTGTGGAATATCAGCGCAATATTTTGGAGTACTTCCGTGAAAGTGAGGTAGGTGTTCAAAAAAGTAGAAAAGAAAAAAGAAAACAAGAAAAAGAAAGAGGAATTGTTGTAGTTGTGTTTTATTTATTATTATTTTTATTTGAGATATGTATAAAAGGTTTTCTAAAGACTGATAATGCTTGGGAGACCAACATGAAGTATTCTGCAGATATAAGACCTTCCAAAGGCCTCTTTTTGACTTTCTTTAAAGGTCTCTAAAATATAATTTAATGAGGGTCTCTTTAAAACATTTTAAAAGTCTCTAAACCAAATTCTAAAGATTTATAGACGACCTCTCAGAAGGCTTCCAAAGGGTTATATGTAAAACACCGACCTTGCAAACATAAAAACCGCTTCTACAGGAACGTCTTTGTATTTGCTATGCATAAACGACCTTTCAAGAGTTTTTCCCATTAATGGAAACCACCCCCAGCAGGTCTCATAACACTTTCACAAATTCAAATTGAAATTTTTAGAAGACCTCCAAAGGTGTAATTTATATGGAACGTCTTTGTTTCTGCTATATATAAACGACTTTTCAAGCGTTTACCCATTGATGCAGACCACTCCCAACAGTTCCCATACGACTTCCACAAATTCAAAAACTCAATTTTAAAATTTTATTTTTCGCCATTTACATTTCAAAAAAATACGAATGCAGATTATTAATATTTAATAACCATTGTCTGTTACAATGCTCTCCAGACCATAAAATGATGCTGATGCTCTTCTTAAGCTTAAGGATAATCAAGGTTTGTTTTTGATTATTTTAATGGTTTGCCTTGAATTTTTCCCACTGCCAACACCATGTGATGATGATGTAGAGCCGTCTGTTGTTAATATTTTGGGATTTTGTGTTTATCTGTTTTAAGGTTTTTTCTTTCTTTCTTAACTCCTGGGGGGTGAATACAATTTAGGAAATTGTTGTCTTTGCTGTTGTGTTTAGGTCGGTAGGTATTTGTTTATCCCACACAACCTTATCATAACAACAGTTCTATGAATAAATGAAAATAACAACAACAGCAACAGAAGATTAGACATCATCTACCCCTCAGCATTACTTGAAAGAAAGAAAAACAAAAACAAAAATAAAAAGAGAAGACTTGTAGTAGATATCTACTAAATAAATATAAATAAAAACCTCCAGCGCAACAGTAATAAAATAACCGAAAGGGTTTGGAAATCTAATGCCGAGTACAAGTACAGGGTGAGATATAAAAAAACTACAGCAAAGCCAAACGCCATAAATTTACATTTTTTAAATTTTCTTGAATGAAAGCAAAAAATGTCGGAAATAGCATTAAATTTTAAAATAAGTTTAGAATTGTTCGAATTTGGTCATCTTTGGCACGAATTATGTCCTTCAAACGGCCAATGAAACCGCCACATGCTGCCCGAATGTTGCTCTGCGGTATTTTAGCCCATTCCCGGTGAAGCGCTTGCTTGAGATGGTGATCGACAATTTGGTATTTTTTAGTGACAACCTTGCTTTCGAAAATACTCCAGACACAATAGTCCAACGGATTGGTATCCGGAGATGTTGGTAGCCATTGTGCGCTGGAAATAAAGCGAGGAACATTTTGTAACCATTCTTGGGTTCTGGCGCGTGCTGAGTGCGATGGTTCTGAGTCTTGTTGGATTGTCCAAGGTCTGCGGCCAAAATGTTTGCTTGCTCAAAGCTTTAATTACAGCCTCCAGAATATTTTCGCCATAATATTCGGCATTTATTCTGATTGATGCCACGGTCGATTAATACGAGCAGAGAGCGAATATCGGCTGTTATGGCGACCTACACCATCACCATGGCCGGCGCAAAAGTTCTGGGGGCCAACCGAAGGTGAACATTTTCAGCTGACCTCTTTGGCAAGTAAACACGATCGTTTTGTTTGTTTACAAACTGCTGGCCTACGAATGTTTTCTCATCGGAGAAAACCCAATTCGGCAGTTCACCATTTTCGGCCAAGCTAAGCAACACTTTAGCTCTTTTGAGTCTATTTTCTTTCTGTTGCGGTGAAGTTCCTGCACTTTTTGGAATTTCAATGGCTTTGCCCCGAGCTCATTTGTCAATATTTGCCGAATGGAATATTGCGATATGTTCAGCTTACGAGCCACGAGCGACGCGGGTCTCGATCAAGTCGCTTCTTCACCTTACGAACCATTTCTGCTGATGTTGCTGTTTTCTTCCGTCCACTTCCTTGACGTCGGGCTACGCTACCAGTATCAGGGTAACGGGCAATGGTATGAGACACAAACGATTTTTTCACATTTAAATGCTGGAGTGCCACTTCTGGTGGTTTTCCAGCCAAATATAAAGAAATCACACTATCACACTTGAATTCCATCACGAATATCTTTTTTTCTGGAAAATTCTCACCAAAATGCTTTTGTACGATTGTAAACAATATAATGAGCTGTCACTGGAATAATTTTAACAGCTGTCGGCCGAGTGGCTTAGAAATGATAGCAATTTTTAGTTAATTGCAGATTTTTCATCTCACCCTGTATTAGCTTTGAAAAGATTTGGAAAAGGAGATTTTTTCTTTTTGTTTACTTTCCTCTACAAGGAGAGTAGGCAAACAAGGGGTTGATAGAATCCCCCCAAGATTAAGATATTTTAAGATAAATCAAGGTCAAAATGGAAGGATTCATTGGCCGTAAGAGATCCTTAAGACAATTTTTTGCTTGGAGAGATCCTTAAGACAATTTTTTGTTTAGAGGTGGTAAGGGAGTTTACCTCTAAAATATGAAATATAATAAAGATTGGAAATCCATGGCATGCAATTTATAGCTCTCTCTCCCTAATTATAAATTTCCTTAATTTTTATAAAAACTTATGACGGCATTAAGTCATTGACCCATATCATAATACCATTTGGTGGGGTACAGTCAGAATCTCCCAACACCTGACGCTGCTTACTTAGAGGTAAATTATTTATATATTTTCAACTCAAAACAAAGAAAAACCGGAAAACATTTCCAAATGACAGTTTTATAAACATCCTCAATAGCCCAAAATTAAGAAGAAAAAATTTTTCAAAGCAATGGCGCCCAATATGTACATTCTACCTTCAGTTAAGGTAAGGAAGGTTCCACCTTCTTTTCCTTCTTATTTTTCTTTGGCTCCAGGTGTTGTTGCTGTTGTTGTTTTCGTACTGTTATGCTTCCTATTATTGTTGTAACAAATTCTTAGGTTTTCTTTTTTCATTAATACAATTACTTAAGAAGTTGTTTGTCTTTTTTGTTCTCTCTCCAGACAGCCATGGTAGGAAAATATACCTAAGTATGTGTGTGTGTGTGTGTGTGCGAGCCAAGCTAAATTGTTTTGTAACAAAACTGTGTTATTTATTAAAGGAAGTGTGCGACATACGCAATAATGTATTATTTTGTTAATGAATTATTTGCGCCCAGGTTAATTGAAGGAAGGCCATTTCTCTTAAGTGCTGTCTCTTTGTCTTTTGTACCTCAAGTTCGTTGAAATAACAAATGGAATTGGAGGAGGGGGCGTGTGGCAGGATCATCATTACCACCACCATCAGCTGCCTTTTGTTATAAGGTGTTTGTTAATTTGCCATAACTTCCGGCAAAAGATGTTTTTCTTGTCTCTTCTAATGGACCTTGAACAAATGGGCTAAGATATGGGATGTGGAAGAAAAGGAAGTTAGTAGGTGATAATATTTGTTTTGCACAAAGTAACTTAATTGATTTTTTGGGGGAGACACAATTACCTCTTATTAGGTCTTTATTAATTTTTGGGATTCACTCACACACACACACAAACAGAAAAGTTCATGGAAGAAAAAATATCATTTTTGGGGAAAAGATACCATTTTCTGTCTCCCAAATAGTTAAAATGGATTAAATTTAATAAAATTTGAGGAAATAACAGGTGAGGTTAGGTGTGGAAATTAAGAAAAACACATTTTGGTCGCTTGATGTCATCAAGCCATGTGTGATTCAAATTTCTATCTTTTAAACTAACAAAAACCTCTGTCGAATCACATAAAAATTGAGAACTCAAAAAGTGAGGTTGTGATTGAATAATTTGAAAACATTCGTATTTAGTCCATATTTTGTCACAGAACCACGATTTATAAGAAATCAGTTTTTGAAATTAATAAAAATGTTTAGATTAAATAAAAATTGAAAAAATATAAAGTGAGGTTATGTGTGGAAAATTTCTAATTTAGCTCACTTTTTTAATAAATAGAATTTAATGGAATATCTCATCTCCAAAATTAATAATACAAGATTAAAATAAATAAACATTAAAAAAATAAAAAATGAAGTTATGTTTGAAAAAATTGGAATTTTTCAAATTTGACTTACTTTTTGCGACTTAATCTGGTAAAATATAATTTTCGGTATGCCAAAGTAAAGAAAATATTTAAATTTAATAAAAATTAAAAAAATAAAAAGTGAGGTTAGGTGTGAAAAAGTCAGGTTATGTGTGAAAAAGTGAGGTTATGTGTGGAAATTTTCTAATTTAGCTCACTTTTTGGACTAAATAGAATTTAATAAAATTTATCATCTTCAAAATTAATAAAGCAAGATAAAAATAAATAAAACTTAAAAAAATAAAAAGTGAGGTTATGTTTGAAAAAATTGGAATTTTTCAAAATTGGCTTGCTTTTAGGGACTTAATCTAGTAAAATAGAATTTTCGGTACGCCAAAGTAATAAAAATATTCAAATTTAATAAAAATTAAAAAAAGTGAGGTTAGGCGTGAAAAAGTGAGGTTATGTGTGGAAAATTTCTAATTCAGCTCACTTTTTTTGATTAATTAGACTTTAATGAAATTTCTTATTTTCAAAATTAATAAAACAAGATTAAAATAAATAAAAATTAAAAAATAAAAAGTGAGGTTATGTTTGAAAAAAATTAGAATTTTTCAAATTTCACTCATGTTTTGCGACATATGCCAAAGTAATAAAAATATTTAAATTTAATAAAAATGAAATCAACATAAAAAGTGAGGCTATGTGTGGACTTTTTTTTTTGGATTAAATAGA